GAAGCAGCGGGGCTGCAGGGCAGAGTTCCCGCTCAGGGAAAAGCCCTCTTGTGCAAATGCTTTTGCACAAGAGGGCCAGTGTAGACAGGTAAAAACTGTTTTGTGCAAAAATGCCCTGATGGCGAAAATGGCGATCGGGGCTTTCTTGCACAAAACCGCATCTAGATTGACACGGATGCTTTTCTGCAAAAAGTGCTTTTGCGCAAAAGCGTCCGTGCCAATCTAGACGCTCTTTTCCACAAATGCTTTTAACGGAAAAACTTTTCCGTTAAAAGCATTTGCGGAAAATCATGCCAGTCTAGACGCAGCCTAAGAGCGAGGGCCACCAAATTTGATAGGCAGCTTCCTCTTCTCCCCAATGAAAGCAAGACCAAGGTTTGGTTGTGGCAGCAGAACCAGAGATCTTGGAGGAATGGACAGTTTTTCATAACATGCAAAGGAAGGGGCTTTCTGAGGGATGTGATATGAGAGTGGCCACTGGGGGCAGTGAGCCCTCAGGGGAGAGTTGTATTCAGCGAGACCACTGGAGTATCTGCAGCACCAAGAGCAGGGCTGAGGCTCCACCAACTTACCTGCTAGTCAACCAGGTATGTAGCCCTCTTACCCCAAACCCTTTCAACCCCAGCCCTTAGCCACAGCACTGGAGGGGTGGGGGAGGGGAAGGCCCGAAGCCCACACGTGGGTAAGTAGCCCCCCGTGCCCAAAACCCTCCCCCCAGCTCTTGGTCACACCACTGAAGGGGGCTGATGAGGCCCCTGGTGGTCAGGGGAACTGTGGGAAGAGAACAGGCCCTAGGTGGGCTAAGTGAGAGGCCTTAGGGGTGGGAAAGAACAGGCCCCGAGTATGCTGGGGGAGAGAGAGAACATGCCCCTGACCCCCAGCCTCCTGTGCTCGCCCCCTCCCCCGGCCCACCAAGGCCCTGAGGGATCCAGGCAAGTCTGGATAAGTCTGCTAGTAATTCTATATGTTCTAATGAGGGCTATTACTGATGCTCTGGAAACTTAATGGCTCAGTAATCAAGTCAATGGCCCACGAATAGGTTTATTCTTCTTGAAAGCCCAAACTGTGATTGGTTCTAGAAAGACATATGACCAGACCACCTGATGCTGAAACCCATTTTGGATCTTCTCCGACAAGAAGGATACATGCACAACATTAGGATATACGCATTCAGCAGTGTAATATTAAACTGTTACATGCCACATTCTGCTTAAAGCATCTTCATATTCAGAAGCCAGTTTTCATAAAGCATGGGGGAGGTGTAACAGTATCGAAATAACTGTGATCTTCTCCCACAATTCACCGGTGTCTAGTAAATCTCAACCCCTGACATGATGGGTAGCTTTTCGGGGTGAGACGGTACTAAGTCTCCAGCATCACCATTTTGCTTTGACTAGCAAGGAGGTTGCCCAAATATACAAAACGTGGTGCTTGTTTTTGTGATCTGAACCCTCCAATAACAACTGGCCTCTAGATTGTAACAACTGGTGGACAAGAAATAGGAATTTTAATTCTATCCAATACCATGAAAATCAGCTCATCCCTATCTACTCTGAAGTCTGCAGGTTACTTAAAAACTAGGCTGGTGGCACAGAAGTAGAAACGGTTGCAGCTGACATTTCACAGGTGAGGGAACACTGATAAGGCAGTAGCAGCTGGAGAGGAGTTGGCTCTTACACCAGCTGTGCACGGATTATAGGTCTAAACATCAACTGATATAAATCAGAGAAGCCAATGTAGACCAGTTGAGGATCTGGCCACATATGCAGGGACACGAAGCAGGGACAGCAGAAAGAAATTCCTTGCTATATGCTGCAGCAACTCCATGGAGTACAGAAACCTCTCTTTGTTTCAATGCAACTGAGTAAGCTTTGCTTTTCTAGCATGCCCAATGCCTGAGTGTTAGATTAATGTTTTGCCAAGCAGGAGCTACAGAGAGCTGACAGGTAGCAGCATGTATCATCACTGCCAAGGGAAGTCATGAAGGGAAGTAAAAATAGAAATCTCTATATGCATCTTTAAAACATGACAGTGCTAGATACATTGGCCATGGATTATGTGTCTCTGACATAGTTTGTGCTATGCTAAGTAAACTGTCCTGAAAAAAGAGAGAGAGAAAAGAAGAGAAAAGACATGCAGAGTCAAAATTGGCTCCGATCTTCTGCAAGAGTGGGATTAATAACAAAACCACCACCACACTGTCAAGCTTGAATGCCTTTCTGGAAGGCATGGCTGCTCTCAAACTCAAGCTCTTGTATTCAGTAGAGGAGTATCCAGGTCAAATTTAATGGCCTGTGATATGAAGGAGTTCAGACATACTAATCTAATGATTCCTTCTGGCCCTAAACGCCACCACTCTATGAATACCGTTAATGATACGTTTACATTTATATATTGCCTTGGAGGCAAGGCGCTCACAGTGTTTCATAAACTTTAATTAAGCCTCACAACACCTTTGTGCCAGAGAGGTGTTAGGTTCCTCCCCGGTGTCACACAACTGAAACAGAAACCAGAGAAAATCCCCCAAGAGTCTCAAATCCAGCATGCACAGGCATTATTTTCACTTGTATATCAGTTAATAAATAGCATGGGGAACATTTTTATGCCAGTGCCAATTCGAGCAAACATGGAGAGTTGGATATACGAGGTTTTGGAAAAAAACCTGGAGTGTTGCTTAAATCCATTTAATATACAGCTGAGAACCTGCTGTCTCTGAAACCTTGTCGTTTCAAGAGCTCACACGTTTTATTTCACTGTCGGATGCTAGTGACACATGACTGACAAACGTCAAATGTAATTCAAGAACGGGGGGGGGGGGGGGGGGGGGGATAAAGTAACCACATCCACCCTTCTGGGTTCTGTTCCCAGGGCTGTGCAGTTTTTCTGGTTCATTGAACAAACCTGAATGAGAGAACCAGGTGATGAGTTATGAAACTGCTACATGCTCCACTGTCCCTGGGAAGGGGGTGGCCGACAGTATCATAGCACGGTGCCGAGGCTTCCTGCCAACCTGAGCCAGCCAGCCATGCACCTGACCGCTGCTGCGTATCCTCTCCCTGATACTGGCCAGCACTGTATGATTCAAGGAAAAGCGCAGCATAGTCTTTCACAGATAACTGTACAATGATCCGTCTATAGGGACTTTTCTTCCCAATCCTCTCAATTAGTGGCAGTGTTCTGCCCTGGAGCATGACTGTTAATATTCAGGTTTATGAAAAAATCATGTGATTTGAACTAGGTCCGTAACTGTAGTAGCATGATCTCTATTGTGTCTGTACACCAAATATGCATATGCATATGTCAGCTCACATTCATGTATCCTGGGATACCCAGGCATCCATTAAAAAAAGGTCGGTAGCCAGCGTGTTGATAATACATGGGGAACAGCATCACATAAAACAGCCAGAGATCACCAGAAGGATGTAGTAATGAACAAAGTCATATTTCACTCTTACGCTCCATGCTACCACTAAAATAGGACACATCTTTTCCTCTCTCCTCCTCTCTTTTATCTCCTTCCTGTGCTGGGTTTCTTCATCCATGCTCTGTCCATGGTGCTGAATACTAATATTTCATTATATAGTCTAAATGGTCCCCTTTTTGGTTTCAAATGTACCAAAGGACCAAGTTATTTGTCCAGTGGACACATGGCATTTTTTCTGTCTTTCAGGGGCAGGCATTTCAGTACATGAGAACTCTTGCCATTATGCTGTATACATGAAACATGACAGAAAAGAATCCCAATGCAACAGTCCTTTAAGTCTTTGTTGACATTTCAGTAGGATTAGCTTTTCACTCACTGACAAGTCTATAGAGCTGCTTGTCTGATAATCAAAGCACCCGGATAGCACATGTATAACAAGTAACAAAAAGAGGATTTTCAATTATTCAGACAGCTGCCCTTATCACTGTACATCTCCCCTGGATAACTAGCTACCTGAATTTAAAAGGGTGCCTACAGGTAGGAAACTACCCAGGGTATTTATCAGAGACTTGCGCTACAAGAGCAGATAAAGAGGTGTGTATTTCCTCCCGCTGGTCTTCCTGCTACCGCTTAATATCAGGCCAGAAAATCTGATCCTTCTACCAGGAGAGGAAATGAGTTTTGTCTGTGAAACTGTGCTGGGCTGTCAAAAAGCACCAGGGAGTCATTACGTTCCTTACGCTTGAACCTAAGAACAGCCATACTGAGTCAGATCAAATGTCCATTTAACCCAATATCCTGTTGTCTGATAGTAGCCAATGCCAGGTGCCCCACAGGGAATGAACAGAACAGGGAATCATCCTGTGATCCACCCTCTATCACCCATTCCCAGCTTCTGGAAAATGTTGGAGGTTGCCTTTACTCCTGAGGGGTGAAGCCTTTCCCCGGAGTGCTCCAGGAATTTGAAATAGTTTGGTTGCAAACAATAAATCCAATCCAATACATCCAATACAAAACCAATTTTGCCTGCCTTGAACATCCGCATTTCCATATGAAAAGCTACGTATGGGACACAGCCAGCCAACTTAAAATTAGCCTTGTTAACACAGATCCTATAATTGACAGGTATTACTTCTGCTGTCATATACATCTCTTAATTTCTGTTATTTCCACTCCAATTCATCAGATGAAGTGGGATTTACCCGTGAAAGCTCATGAGTCTATACATTTTCCTTAGTCTCTAAGCTGTCACAAGACTACTCATTGTTTTGAATACATCTAATCATTTGCATTTAAAGTCAGTTAAATAAAGCCACTATGATCACAGAGAAGCATGCCTTAATCTAGAAGAAAACCATCAGGCCCTTCTTTATTTTTGTGTCGCTGCACACGCAATATGGAATTCCATTGTCTCGCCCTCTGCCTCCTGTCAATCTCTATGCAATGCTATCCCTATGAGTGAAGGCAGAAGTGCCTGACGCTGCACCATATTTCTTGCTTCAGTCGCTCTGCAGGCTATGTCTGCTGTGCAATCAATAACAGCTAACAAGGAAAGATTTCAGTTTGCGGCACTTACTCGGGGTGTTCAGCAGACGTGACTTTTTGCAGTGGTAAGCCACCTCCTGTTCACAGTACTCCGCACTGCTTATCATGGCTTCAATCTGGTCCATGTTGCTGCTATAGTTAAAGAACATGGCATATGGTTTCTCAGGGCCCGCCCCTCGGGCTCTGGTTAGCTCTGTGTTGTTGTGCTGTACTGCTGTCCAGATCGTATCTTCTGTGAAATGAAAAAAAAAATGAAAGGGGTGTTACAGTAAAAAGGGAACAAAGAGTAGCTGAAGACTGATGCTTTTCACCATTAGAGACAGGAGCAGCATTCAAACAAGTGTGGACCACACACGGCTATGCCTACCGAAAACGAGGGACAGACCACAGTGGGGCTGATGTTACAGAGCCCGCTGAGCCAGAGATAAAACATCAGCTGCCCTGAGTCCTGCGGATGCTGTTTTGCCAGGTAGCTGGATTAATTCAGCTGCATTTCTGCTGTTTTCAGCCCCGCTGCAAACAGATCAGGACTGGAAAGCAGAACTGTTCTTTTGCAACAATACATTCATGTCTGTTGATGAACTCACAGGAGCCATCTGAGACAAAAAGAAATCCTACCTGAAAGTTAAAATCAAGATGAAATTCATGTTGCTCTGTTCTGACTGTGGTCATGTGAAAGAAATTTGACCTCTCATTCTACTCTTCAAAACTCAGAATTTCTTCCTATTTACTGCAGCCCTCATTGAGGCCATTTCTCAATCAGGGCCTCTTTGAGGCATCCCATTTTATTCAGTGGTGCTACCGGCAGAGTGAAGTATTTCTCAGCGTAAGTTAATAGAGTTTGGCCTTAAATAAATTCAATCTATGGACCTCGGCCTTCATACATTACACAAGGCAGGAGTACTTGTTGTCTAATTCAAGTGAATGGGATACTAACGATAGTGAATACTAAACTCTGCAATAAATGTTGCAGAATTCAGGCCTACACTTATACTACTACCCGTTTGCAGCTGATTCCTCCTGTTTTATTATGTAGGGAGAATGATCCAGCTTGCCTATATGTTCTAAAGTAAACTGTAAAAAAAAAAGAGCCAGCTTTAATCCTTTGTAAATATTGCAAATTTTCACCCTGGCATGGAATCCATTTATTTGTAGCAGTGGGCTCCACTTCCTGACCCCAGCTGTGACCTTTGGTTCTGGTTACCAACCACAGCTCAGGCCATTAGGGATAACATCCCCATCCCAGTCCAGTCAACTCCAAGAAATGATTTTAATCCAGAAGAAAATACCTTTCCAATGCCTTAAAACAAGGCCTTCAAGTGCTGGATGTCTAAGAGCTGGCAATCAATAGTTGGTGCATTCTTTCGGAGTGCTGTGATCAGTTCCATGAGGAGAGAGAGTGAGTTTGTTTATACATCTATAATTCAATTCAGAGATTCTGAGAGAATTAGGGATGCTACTTTCAGAGCTTTGGGGCTGAATTAGAACATTAAAGATCAAAATATTGGGGTAATGTTTAATATATGAAACACAGGGAACAACTGGAAGAATCATGGCAAAGTCAAGAGCTTTACAGAACTTAATCCTGATGCTCACAAGTAAGGCAGGCAACACATCGCTCTAAGACCTCATCATGTATCAGTTTTGCATCACAAAGCAGTAATCCATGTCAGCCAAAGTCCCTCTGTTTTTCTTCCACATGCCCCAAAACTAACAAGGGAGGGATTTTCGAAATCCTCTCCGCACTGGCCTAACTCTGCTGCTACTGAAGTCAATGGAAGTTTCACGGCTGACTTCACTGGGGACACAGATTTGCAAGACACCGAGCCAATTGGGAATTTTTCAAAAAAACATCCTTGCCAGAAAATATGAAGTAAACAAAACAAATTCTTTCCAGGGATGTTCTGGCTTTGACAAAACTTTCTTGGAGAAAGGTTTCCAGGATCTTGCAATTTCAGGATGGCCTTGGAAAGGGTTTGGCCTTGGAAAGGGTTCAGAAAAGGGCAACTAAAATGATTAGGGGTTTGGAACAGGTCCCATATGAGGAGAGGTTAAAGCAACTGGGACTTTTCAGTTTAGAAAAGAGGAGACTGGGGGGATATGATAGAGGTCTATAAAATCATGAGTGGTGTGGAGAGGGAGGATAAAGAAAAGTTATTTATTAGTTCCCTAAATAGAAGAACTAGAGGACGCCAAATGAAATTAATGGGTAGCAGGTTTAAAACTAATAAAAGAAAGTTCTTCTTCACACAGCGTGTAGTCAACCTGTGGAACTCCTTGCTAGAGGAGGCTGTGAAGGCTAGGACTATAACAGTTTAAAGAGAAGCTAGATAGTTTCATGGATTTTAGGTCCATAAAAGGCTACTAGGCAGGGGATAGAATTGGTGTCTCTGGCCTCTGTTTGTCAGAGGCTGGAAAGGGATGGCAGGAGACAAATCACTTGATCATTGTCTTCGGTCCACCCCCTCTGGGGCACCTGGTTTTGGCCACTGTCGGCAGACAGGATACTGGGCTAGATGGACCTTTGGTCTGACCCAGTATGGCCATTCTTATGTTCTTAATAAGCAGGGAGACAATCCAAAATAACCAATTGCTTTATGGTTAAGGATACCCAGTCCAAGGATTAGAACCCAAAATTTCCTACAGCCTAGGTGGATGCCCTAATCACTAGGACAAGCCCGGGCAGAAGAATCCAGCCCATGGAGGCAATGGGGAGCTCCAGGCAGGCTCCCCTGCTTGCCCCACAACCCTGCACACCACTCAAAAATGAGACTGTGGGGCACTTTCTCTTTATGAGTCTGGAGGGGAGGAGGGAAGATTTAGACACTGCTTCCACCCCCAGCACAATCCCTTTGGCTGGTTTCTGGACAAAAACTGGCCAATAGGAGCTGCCTGTTTGAATAACAGGCAGCCACGAAGCACAAGCCTCCTGCTCAGTTACTAACTCTAGTACAAGGCTGAGCAGGCAGACACATTTTAAGCTCTGCAAGCCTTTAGCTCTGCAAGCAAGCAGACAGGCTGCTTTTGCTGCTGGCTGGTAAATCTCCTGGCCATAACCTGCTGCCTCTGCCAGCCCAGCCCTCCCGTACCCCACCCTCTGCCCCCCAACTCCTGCATGCTTCTCTACATGCACCCATACCCTCTCCCAGATCTGGCATCCCAATCTCCTGCCCGAGATCACAATCCCCTCCTATCATAGGTCACATCTCAAAATCCTGCACCCCAGTTCCCAGCCATAGGTCACAACTACCTCCTTCACCCAAACTCCATCTCAGACCCTGTTCTCCCTCCTGAACCCCAGTCCCTTATCCCAAGTGCCTTTCTGCACCCAGCCTCCATCCCAGACACAGCACGTCCTCCATTAATACCATGGAAGAATGCAGCCCTCGACCACTCTCCAAAATCTTGGAGTGGCCTCCCATCAAAAATTATTGCCCACCCCTGCACTAGAATATTGGCGCTCTCAGGAGAAAGTGAGAAATCGCCATCGTTTCTCACTGAAAACCTTGGAAGTTCTCAGTTTTATCTAAAAACAGAATAGGAAAACATTTCCAAACCCATTGGAAACAGTCATGGGATGGGAAAACCACTTTCCATTCCTCTATAATTTGAAAACCCCAAGCTAAATGCAAAAACCATTCCCACAAGCACAGGAGCAAACTAACGGGCTGATATTAGATTCTGATGGACTGGAAACATTAGTCAATTTCTAAATCATAGTGATAGAATCAGTGTGCAATCTACTGGCAAGACTGCCCTTTAAGAAAACCAATTGGTTAAACATACTTGGCCTTCCGAGTTCTGTGGTATTATCTATAGGTGCACACGGTGTGAGTAACTGACATAACCATGCACGGCATCAAGGAATAACAGAATTAAACAGAAGGAAAGTTTGGGAAAACACGCCCGTAAAAGTGAGTCGGATTAGATATGGGAAACCGTCTCCCCCAAGCTGTGTTGGAAACCCCTTCATCTGAACCACTGAAAATGAGTCTGCACAAAGCCGTCGCAAATGTGACAAGGGAAACAAACCATGCACTGACAGTTGGCTTGCACAGATGACCTGACAGGTTTCACTCATCTTCCTCTGCAATTGCTCATTAATTCTCATCAGGGTTGTTTTTACAGCTGTGCTGAGCTGTTCCCCAGGGATCTGAACTTTAACGTACGGCGTGTTTGTCTTCTCCCCGCTGGATCCTGTGGAAGTGGCAAGTTTACCACAGGTTTTCTGTCACAGGCTTGCAGTGGCAATAGAACATACACATGTTGTTGGTGTCCATCGTAACCATGTTTTAGAGAGCGTGATACAGCAGGGCCAGGAAGCACTAGGACAGAGCTAAGAGGGAGAGATATAAACCCACAGCTAATAAAGGCATGGTTCCCCTGTAGACTAGGAAAGGCCACTACAGGCTAATTGAAGCACCTGTAACCAATTAAGGCTCTGTCAGGAACCCAATAAACCCTCCCTCCATCAGGCAGAAAGGATGGAGTGAGGAAAGAATGAGGAACTTGGAAGTGTGGTGCTGAGATTTAAGAGACTAGAATATTGGAGGAAGGGAGACTCCCTCCCCCAGCATCAAGGACTAAGGGTAACCTAACCAAGGAGGGGAGAAGATAAGAAACTGACAGAGTTTGAGAGGTGCAAGGGTTCAGACATCTTCCTTTCTTCCTTTTCCTGCCACCTATGGAGGCCACTAGTGGGGTTCTTTGTGTCCCACGAGCCAGAGAACTGGGATCTAAGTCTTCACTAGGAAAGGCCCTAGTCTTTGCTAGGAAAGGTCTGGGACCCATTGTACCAACCTCAGCCATTTTGCCACAAGAGGCTGAAGTGAAGTAGCTCCTGAATGGGAGAAAGGAAGGATATAGGAAAAGAGAAATTTACACTAACTTTCATGAATTGATAATCCATTATAGCACTTTCTCCCATACTCTTAATTTAACTAATGGAGAGCCATCTCTTGCTTTGCCACTTCAAAGACCCTTGCTGATTTCTGCTCTTTGAGATGTATTCCATCGTTACCAAAAGTCCATCTAAGCCCAGTATCCTGTCTGCTGACAGTGGCCAATGCCACATAACCCAGAGGCAGTGAACACAAGAGGGAATCATCACGCCATCCCTCGCTTGTCACCCATTTCCATACAAATAGAGGCTAGAGACACCATTCCTATCCTTCCTGGCTAATAGATAAGGTGGATGAGGGAATATTTGGCCTGAGGTCTGTTGAAGTTCAT